GCAGCAGCAGCTGCTGCTGCTGCACTCGTCCGTGTACAAGACAAAGGTAGAATTTGTTGAGTTTGTGGGCCTCGAAGTTCATCCGCACAAAATGAAAACCCCGCGGGGTCTTGGCGACTATCACGGGGCCTGAAACGCATGCACAGGGGCCCCCAGGGGGCCCCCACAAATACTCTTGCTGCTGCTGCTGCTGCTGCTGCTACTGCTGCTGCTGGTGCTGGTGGTGTTGGTAGTGGTGGTGGTGGTGGTGGTGCTGCTGCTGCTGCTGCTGGAGCCCCCTAACCCCGCACCATGCTGGGGCCCCCAACCCCCCCGACAGCTGCAGTACCAACACCTCCCTCTAGGGGGCCCCTTTGGGGGCCCCCCCAAAGCAGGTCACCTAGGAGGGGCCCCCTGGGGGGCCCCCCAAAGCGGGGCCCCTTGGAGGGGCCCCCTGGGGCCGAGAGGGGCCCCCTCTCTGCTGCTTACCGCTTGTTTCGCAGTCGAGTCTGTGGGTACAGCCGCAGGCCAAAGATGAGTCGGAGAGCACTGCAAGGAATTCTTCATAAGGACCCACGTCATGCGGGGGGCCCCCCTCACCAGGGGCCCCCCTGGGGGCCCCTAGAACGTGGGGGCCCCCCTCACCAGGGGCCCCCCTGGGGGCCCCTAGAACGTGGGGGCCCCCCTCCTGGGGGCCGCCACGCCGCACCGTATGGTTGGGGCCCGGGAGAGAGCAGAGGGGCCCCTGTTGCTGGGGGGCCCCCAGGGGGGGAGGGGGGCCCCCAGGCAGCAAGGGGAGGGCCCCCTCTTGAACCCTAGCCTTTAGGAATAGATGGAGGGGCTCAGGTCTGCTGCTTCTTAGTAGGGCCTCACTCAAAAGGAGACAGTTGTCTCCTTCTCTGCTGCTGAAAGGAGACAGTGAAGAGGAAGGGGGGGCCCCCTGGGGGGGCCCCCAAGATACCCACGCCGGTGTCTCAAACCCATAGGGGCCCCCAGAGGCCCCGGGGGCCCCGGGGGCCCCTGCAGACGTCTGCTGGGTGTTCGTGAGCCAGTGGGGGGGCTTATACACCACCTAGGAGACAAAGGAGACAGAGGAGACAGTAGAGACAGAGGAGACAGATGCAGCAGATGGAGACAGAGGAGACAGTTGCTAGGCACAACAGCAGCAGCAGCAGCAGCAGCACAAGATGCAACACCTACACCAGCCACCCAGCAGCAGCAGCAGCAGCAGCAACAACACCAGCAACAGCAGCAGCAGCAGCAGCAACAGCAGCAGCAGCAGCAGCAGCAGCAACAGCAGCAGCAGCAGCAGCAGCAGCAGCAGCAGAAAAGGGGAATACTAACAATGTAGTCTCTCTTCTCTAATAGGGTTCTTGGTGTCTCCTTCTGGAGGGCCCCCCTGAGCTGCCCCCATCTGCTAGCCACAGCACAATGCTGCTGCTGCAGCTGCTGCTGCTGCTGCTGCTGCTGCTGCTGTTGTTGCTGCTGCTCTTGCTGCTGTTTCTGCTGCTGTTGTTGTTTTTGCAGCTCTGGTTGTTGCTGCAGTTGCTGTTGTTGTTGTTGTTGCTGCTGTTGTTGTTTCTGTTGCTTCGGCAGTTGCTGCTGCAGTTGCTGCTGCTGCTGCTGCTGCTGCTGCTGCTGCTGGCGTGTCTGCTGCTGCAGTGGTTTGCTGCTGCAAGTGGGGGCGAGCAGCAGCGCAGCAGCAGCAAGGCCCCTGAAGAGAGGAGGAGACAGATGAGAGACACTGCTGAGGCAGCAGCTGAGGGCCCACACATCACGCAGAGAGACAGCAGTACCCTCTTGGGGGCCCCCCCCCACCACATAACTTTCCTTTCTAGGGGGGCCCCCAAACGCAAGCGCCGGGGGGCCCCCCCTCTCTAGCCGCCGCATCAACTCATCACATACAGACCGCCACACCAAGACTGCAGCAGCCATAAACCTTTGCTGCTGCTGCTGCTGCTGCTGTTGCTGCTGCTGCTGCTTCAGTCTGTCGCTCCAGTCCCGCTTGTTGGTATGCAGCTCTTGGTGCTGCAACAGCTGCTGCTGTTGCTGCTGCTGTTGCTGTAGCTGCTGCTGCTGCTGCTGCTGTCGTTGTTGCTGTTGTTGCTGCTGGGATTCCTGCTGCTGCTGCTGCTGCTGCTGCAGTACCCTGATCCGTTCTTGTGCGTCTGCACCCAGGAGA